TCACAGGTAATGTCAAAGATGATTGAAAACTACAGCAACAAGGCTAAAATAATTATTTTCTCTGCGTTTTTCCCATCATTATTTTTCTGTTGTTTACATTTTGAATTTGTAGTTTCCCTATAAATTAGTTTCTTGTCAGCACTGGCAGACAGAAAAATATTTTGATAAATATGAAAATGTGATTTTAAAAACCACAGACCCACACAAACTGACTAATGACTCAGAAGGTGCCATACCTGCTGATTAACTGCTGCTAATCCGCTTTTAAATAGAACAGATTTTCAAACTGACAATTTCCTTTTAACAGTCAAATGGTAACTTATGGCAAGACCTCCAGATGGCTCTTGCAATGTTAAGTGTTCCAGCACATAACTTTGAGGTACCTGGCTCTCAGAACAGAGTCCACAGCCCTGAGTTAGACACTCAAGCTCCTATACAATGTATGTGAGGATTTAGGCCCTTCAGAACAGTAATTCACAAGAGCTAGACCTTGAGTAAGGGCATTGACTAGACTAGCTAATGGGAAATGCTGAAGAGAGTTGTGTGCCTTCAAATCCAGCTGTTCTTCAGACCTCATGTGCCTCACTCAGGGCTGCAAGGAGGTACCTATATCAGATGAGGATTCACATTCCAAATTGTTTCCTGGAACTAGGAAACAATTTGCTAAGTTGTTCCATGTAAAAACGGCACTGGAGCCACTACTTTACTTGGCCGATGAGGTGCTGTTGCCCTTCTTCCATCTGAGGTCTCAAAGGTTAAAACATTTACCGAGGAAGCAGGTAACTTGGGTCCAAAGCCTGCAAAAATTCAAATTTGCTCCTCACTTCCTGGGATAGTGCCCCAAATTGGCTGTTCTGAGGTGGAGACATGCTCTGCTTCTCTTCCTGAACTGTGCCACTTTAGGCCAGACACAGGAAGCCTAGAGTGCCTAAACACGAGCGCAGAGGCTGCTCCAACGTGCTATAATTACAGCACATCAGAGCAGACTCAATTAATCAAGTCTGGTGGAGTTCATTGAACACACTTTTTGAAGCCACCATTTTGAAGCGTAGGGACACTAATACACAAGACACTGAGGCACTTTAAAGGAGCTCTTGGAACTGCTCTAATTAAAGTGCCCACCCCTGGAGCATGTGTAAATGTGCCCCTAGTGCTTAGGGCACGCACTGAGAGGAGAAACCTAGGCTCTGACCCATGTTCCAAGGACTGTTTTGTATTTTACAGTCACGTACTCCTACGTGACTGCCCTAATCACAACACTAGAGCTGTGCTTCCCTTGTACTTTCAGTTTTGCCCCAGTGAATCTCAAAATATTTTGTGCAAATCTGCACAGCTTGAAAACGAGAGCTGAAGAGCATCATTTGTCATCCCAGAACAACTGACAGTGCTGTGGGATGGGCAGCTTCTGGGAGGTTGGAAAGATGGGTTTGAATCCCTTCATGTTGAGAAAGACATTGAAAGCCAGGTCTTCCACAGCACACTGCTGTTCCAACTACCAAGCGATTAGCTAAAAGGATGGGGAGAGGCACCTCCTCCAGCTGTGATTCTTAATATTCGAACATGGATCTGTACTGTGCGCATCCTGATCCTCTAGGCATGTATAAGGCATGTCTCACAGCATGCCTCCTAGATCATGCTAGAACACTTGAAGAGGGGATAATTGAAGTATCTGGATTGAGTAGAGCAGGGGTTGTCAACTGGGGGTCCATGTATCCCCAGGAGTACTTGGAAAGGGGCTACGGATGGAGCACCATCACCCAACACCCCATGCCACCACTTCCCAGGAGCAGGGCTGGGAGCGGGTTGAGGGCAGCAGCTCCCATCTGCAGGCCGCGCAGGTGCCATCTGGCCAGCTGGACACCGGGGGGAAGCTTTCATACAGCAGCCGCTGCCATCCACCACCCTGCACCACCACTGCCACATGCAAGCCCCCAGAAGGGGTACACTCCTTAAAAAAGGTTGAAAACCCCTGGAGTATAGGGCAAGCTGCTCAGCTTTGTGAAGGTAGACATAGCTTGGCATATGCAAAAGTAGGATTGCAGGTGCCTGGGAAATTTTATTGGTGAAAATTTAGGCACCTAACTAACTAAGCAAGATTTCTGAGAATAAAAATTTTGGACTTAGATGCCCAAAAGAATGTTAGGGTCCTTCCTTAGGCACGTAAGTCCTTTTATGCACTGGGAACTCAGTTATTACATGGGGTCAAAGAAAGACTCAAGAATTCACCATATTAGTATTTCCAAAAATGTGTATAATTAATTTAGTAACAACTAATGCACTCATCAAAACAGCTAAGATTGTGATACCCTTACTGAGTAGTAAAACTCATATTATAAGACGTCACACTGAAGCCATTGGGAGGAGGGTAAGGTACAACTCATTGGGTGCATCTACACGTGCAATTAATGCAAAGCGATAAACTCTGGAGCACTCTGAGCCATAGTACACTGCTCCCAGGTGCAACGTCTACACATGCACCCAGGCCAGCAGCACTTCAAGTCAGGGCAGAGCAGGCCAAGGTTGGCAGCAGCTTGCGGGGTGAGCGCCGGGCAGCGTCATGGTGCGGAGGGGCTGGCTGGGGCACGTGAGTGCTGAATGTGCAGAGCTGTGTGACTAGGTGGCAGGCAGGGGTCTGGCCCCCTGCTGCCTGGACTGACTGTGCACGATTTCTGCTCCCAGTCACCGTCTACATGTGCATTTCAGTGCAGTAAAGTACTTCACTGCAAGTTTTAGTACTATATTACAGCAGAGTTAACTAGTATATTGCACTCTAATACCAGTGCATATGTAAGACAGTGACGCTTTACTGTGGAGCCAATTAGTCTACTCGGTGGGAAGCACACGTGTAGATGTCCCCAGTATGTGTAAGAATCTCACAAGCTGTCCATAAATCAATCACCTTTCTTCAGAGCAACTTTTTCAAAGCCAACTCATCAAAGCAACCTTTTTTCATTTCTCTGGGCTGGTTACTAGCATAAATAAAGTATTATCTGTCTAAATGTGCATGAGCATGTCTGTGTCTCCTTTGCTGTCCCCAATTATTTTTTGTTTTAAATGACCTTTTTCCTGGAAAATTTAAACACCAAAAGAGCTACAGGTAGGACTATGAACAGCCCAAGGCTGAGCTCTGCTGATCTACAGTATATACCACTGATTCTCAAGTGGGGTATGTGAGATCCTTTTAAGTGTCATGGTATGCCATGCAATATTGGTGTTTTTAGGAGTACAAACACTTGCACTTCATTCACAACATAGACTCAGAGATTTCAAATAGGAACAGAGTCAAAAACAGCCTGACCTGTTACTGTCTTTCTGAATTCTTTGCAACAGAAGAATTACAGTATTATTTTTCCAGAGGAAAACTGAGTGCAAGCTAAGAGCTGGCATTTTCTGAGGGGTGCTTTGAATCTAACAAGGGTTGTTGTGAGTCTAAGGTTGAGAACCCACTGGTGTTGGGTCTGGGCTCCAGACTTGACTAAAAGGAAGAATTATTTCAAGGCAAATATGGGTATTCTCCCAAAATGCCTCACATTTAATATTTCCAGCTCATACTCGTAAGTCACAAACTGTGCTAGTCTGTTCATCTGCTATTGAGACAGTTATTCTGCAGTTAAAACGGCAGACATTAAAAAAAAAAGCCATTAACTTATCAACAGTCACAACACATATATATTAAGTACCATGAAATTGTAGAGATGACCTACTTTTCTTCTTTTTTCTTTTATAATGCAATTAAGAAGTTTTAATCAAGTCAAAGTGTGCTATCCTGACCTGTATGCAAATCTTTGTAAGCTGTATTTATTTCCCATCAGAACTGTAAACTGAAAATACAGCCAACAGTTAAATGATGTTGTTTTTCTGTCTCAAATTCCAACAGAATCATTAAACAATGTAATGTTAAGGAATCTAACAGTCATTAGACATCATTACTATTGGATACACAGGAATCATTAAAATGTCTGCTCTGTAAGTGATATCCCTTTCTGGCTCATCTATTTGTGCTTCTCTGTCTTTGGTTTCCTTATAAAATAATAAATAATATACGTCCTTTTGAAAGTATTTTGATTGTATTTAATAGAGATTTATTTAAAAATACAATTTGTCACCAGCTTGTGGTTACTTCAAGTTACTTGAAGTATGCTCACAAAATAGAGCAAAGGTATACTGAGCAATTGGTTTGCTGTTTTATGACAGAGAATATGTTCTTACAATTATAAAAATGACATTATTTTCATAAATATTATACTGCAACATTACAGTACGGAAATAGCACTACACACTGGACCATTACCATGGCAAGCAGAAGTACAAACAGTATAAAAGTATGAACTTATAACACAGTAGCTGTAACAGGTACCTGTGCAAAATACTGATATTATATTAAATTATGCTTACACTATATAAAAAAGTGTGCATAAAATATGCTTACAAGCAGTTACTTTGAAGAGACATTCATCATACTATAGTAAGAGTATATGCTTCCTACATTGTGAATAAGTGCCAAGTTGAAGACTGAGTTTCAGTAAATTATCCCCAATGCATGTTTTCCCTTTAACATGTTTTGAAAAAAACAAATCCTATGCCAAGTGCCATCTAGGATTTCTTCCATCTGAAAAGAGGATTCCAATAGCTGCATCTGAAACTTCATTTTAGTTGTAAGAGCGTACAAGTTTTTCAACCATTAATAGTCACAATAATCTTAACAGAGAAATGAATGTAAATGCATCATCAGATGATATTTCACACATCTGCCCTCATCTGTGCATTACACATAAATACACACCAAAAATATGGCCTACAGTGCATCAAATCATCAGCCTTTGTTTACATAGTATCCATAGGATGTAGCTTGCCTTTTAAAGGCTCTTGCTATCTGTGTTCTAAATTACTTTCTTCCAAATTTCAAAATATCAAGAAATGACCTTCATTTGTTTGCTTCATCTGGCCAAGTATTTCTAGTAACACCTTTCTCTTTTAAAAATATTAATTTAAATTAATCCCTTACATTTTTATTACTAGAATACACATACAACATAAAATCAGGGCTTGAACTGTAGTCTACAGTGATTTCAGTGGACCATGGAGTAAGTCATAAGTTCCAGGCAGCAAAAGAACTTGGACAAACTTTAGATGTGATCCTCAGCTCAGCAGCTCCAATGTCTTAGATGCCTGTAGTGATAGAAGTTAATTTACAGATGCTCCCTAACATAGGAGACTGAAGACGTCAGGAATTGGGAGATGGTTCTTGAGTGAGGGAGTAGCTAGTTAGTTAAAGAGAGACAAAAAGTCTGCAGAGACTTGTCTACTGCTCCACAATAAAAGTTATTGTATGATTCCTCTTGCTCATGTCTGATTGGGTTTTACTGAACTTGGTGATCACTACATGTCAGGAGGGGGATATGAACCCATACCTCTGTACATTTCTTACAATACATTTTCCAAGGTGCCCAGAGCTGTGCTTCTGTGCATGCCCAAAACAACTGCTACCTTGGTAGGGTTACCTAATCTGGTCCCTATTTCTAGATGTTCTTGAAATAGGGGTCCCCTTCACATAGCTCTCCAGAGGACACAATCTGACAGATGTGCTCTAAGCCCACAGCTGGAAGAGGGCAAGGCTTTTTTTCTTTATGCAACAGCTCAGTGGAGTGGTTAGTGCACTCATCCAGAATATAGAAGACTTCAGTTTGATGCCATCATCAAACCACAACTCTCCCCTCCCAGGACAGTGCCCTAGTAACTGCCAGACTATAAGCTGTTCTGGGGTGTAGAATAAGGGGTGGCAATTTGCTACATCTCCTTCTGAAATTCTGCCACTTAGCAAAATGAATGCAAGCTTCTCAGCCAAAGACAAAGACCAAGCAGAAACACAACTCCAGCCCAGGGATGGGTGTGTGTTTACCTCTGAGAGGGAAGACCCTGCTCCATAGATTATCAAGTTTATCCAGTATAAGTTTCATGTAAAATGGATAAACAATCCTTGGCATAGGAAACAGAGCCCAGGTGCTCCTCTCGCAGGTGAGTCTGTTACTTACAGGGTTAAACAGCCATGTTGTTGCACTGCTTTTGGTTTAGGAGGTAGTATGTGAAGAGATACTGCACCTAACATCCCCAGCACTCAAGTCATGAGTCCCTTGTCAGATCTAGCTCCTGATTTCCTAGACAGAAAATCTAATTGCTCTGGTCCCTTACCTACTGTCTTTGTGTCTATGATGGTCCAGGGAATATGCAAGAAGCAAGATTTGTTTGGTATTATCTTTTATATAGTTGGGAGAGCTGTTAGATAAGCTTTGGGCATTTTGTGCTTGAAAGCTTGCAGAACATCTTTCCCAACTATAGAGTTGGTGTACTAAAATATATTATCCAACAAATTCTGCTCCTTGCTGCCTCTTTATGCTCAGTGCAAACAGCTGTCCTATTAAAAAAAAAAAAAAAAAAAAAAGGAGTGTGTGTAGAGAAATATCTTCTTGGAAGATTGTCCTTCAGGTTCATTTGAATGTCCGTTGGTGAAATGTTTATACCATATTTATAATTTCCAAGATAAGATGACCTCTTCTTCCCACCAAGTTTCAGTTCACAGGCCATTGTCCAAATCACTGTTCTTGACATTTTAATTTTGGAAATCGAATACAAACACAGTACAATTCTCCAAAATCTTACCCTAAACAGTGTGGCAGTCCACAGGCATTCTCGAGCCCCAACACTGTGTGTATGACAGAACAAGGAAACTCTCAGCCTTTAGAGAGAGACACAAACAGCACAGGTAGCAAACCACAAAACATAACACTAATTTAAGATGATTCTGGATGCTGAAAGAGACAGTAACATTCTAGAAAGACTTTTTTCTAAATAACAGGCATAAATCAATGCACTTGCTGGGAAACATTACTCCCTTTAGAAACTCTGTTATGTAAGTGATTGCTCTCTAAAAATATCTCGTAAGAGACAGGACTATAGGCTACTATTCCCCCAGGCCAGGACAGTCTCATCTTTTAAACAACTTACAGCATTTCCCAGTCCTATATATAAAAGTTTCTTCTTCAACACGTCTTTAGTTTAGTATACTGCTCCTGTACGCAAATACATTACAGATGTGTCATACATAATTGGCTTTATGCATGCGGCAAGCCTGAATTGAGACCTGAATTATGCTTGGGGGCATAATGTTTCTTACTGTCAATTGATTAGTATAGAAGGAAGAAAGAAAGCCAACACCCACTGGTCAAATGGGTATTTTTTGAGACAGAAAGAGAGTAAGTTTGACTGTTGAAAGTTGAAAACGGCACATTTGCCTTGTGAGTGGTGAAATTCAGGTCCCTTTGGATGAAGCTACAACCATTCCAACTAGACGTAACTTTTATCTGTGGGACTTGTAAAATATTGCTTGCCTAGGAATGTCCTAGGTTACAATAAACAAAATTTTTTCCAGAAAAATCCCACAGTAAGTTCCTCTGCTGGCCTCTGAGAAGCATTTATTCCTTCCAGACTGAAAATTGCTCAGTGTAAACACAGGAGAGAAACAGTTCAAAAAATGAACCATATGCAAAACTATCTAGTTAAAGTATCATTGTGGCTACGAGAGGCAGGTGATAGTCAGTCCTGACCAATGTTTCACTCCATTCTTTAATACGCAATTCACCTGTTTAAAGTGTCTATGACTAAAATGTCACCCACTATACGTGAGCAGTTATGCACACGTACCTTCTCTGCTTTATCCCTCCACTCCGCACCAGCAGCATCACTCCTGGGTATAATAATATCATTGTTTTCTTTTCCCACACTGCTCCATGACCCCATGCCACCATCAAGCACTGTGTGGCGCTTGTATCATGTCAATGGTTAAAGTAAACTGAAGAAGAGGAGAGGGAAAACTCTCCCTGCACCCATCCAGGAGAATGGCAGGGTGAGGAGGAAAGGAAAAAACAGCTTCCTCAAATGCTTAGCAGGGAAGGAAAGGCCGTGAACACTCTCTCAGTGAAACTGCTTCACTTTAACCCTTGCATGACCCAACACTCAACGTTAAGGGAGCTAGTCAAAGGCTGGCTAGTGGCAGCCCCTTAAAAACGAACTCCCGTGCCCCAAGCCAAACTACTGCCTGACTTCATTTGTCCCAGTCAAAGCATAAATTGGAATTTTTTGTATTCTGTTTTCTCGTGCCCTGCGCACCATCCAGTTTGTTGACCTCCCAAGAGTGGCTAGAAGGCATCAGCACTGTATTTTAAAGGGAAAGAAACAACGGATACATACCCAGCCTCCATTGTCCTGGATCCAGTTCTGGAGGTGCCTGTTCAGGTACTCCGTCATCCATGTTGCAATGTTGTCCACGAGGGGTGACATCTCCCGGTTGACACTCTCCACGCACATCACGCCACCGAACTCAAAGAAGGCCACAATTCTCCCCCAGTTCACTCCGTCTCGGAACAGCTCCTCCACTACCGCCACAAAGCGCCCCCTGGCTGTGAAAGGGGTCAAGTGCAGCTGGCCAGACATCTGGGCAAAGTCACTGTGGTAGCGGCGGGAGAAATCATCTCCAGCTTGGCGCAGGGTCAGGTGGACAGCCTGTGGGGCTGGGCCCGGCTCATTACCAGGAGGCACGTTACTAGCAGCAGCTGAGCCAGCAGGCTCAGGATGCAGAGACACCGGCCCAGCATGGTCAGAGGAAGTCCCAGCAGCAGCAACAGCAGGAGAGAGACTCGGAGAACCCCGTGCTCTGTCTTGGTGGGCAGCCCAGTCATATCCCCTCTGTGACAGTTTGTAATGGATGTACTTCAGCACTATCTCCCGGTTATCATAGCTTCTTCTCCCAGGATTAGCCATACTTCCCGACAGGGAACCAGTGAGGAGGAGGAAGAGGAGGAGCAGGGCGAACCCCCAAAAGTAAAGCAGCCAGTAATATGAATCACAACAACAACAACAGCAATTATAATCCAGTTATTGCATTGGATGCGGCTTCATTCATGACCGAGCGGGGAGCTCGCAGAGGTACTTTCCTCTTCTCAGTTTGCGACGCCCGGTACAAATAAGCACGACGAGGCTGCGAGGGTTTTATTCCCAGGCGCACCCTTAGCATCCACGAGACAATTTACTTCAGACCCATTTCCTCCTCGATGCCGAAGCACGTGCAGTTGAAAGAAAAAAGACCAGGTGCGCTCTTGTTCATCCTTTTCTTTCTCCCCTCCCCGGGCGGGTGCTGAACCACCCTGTGCGGAGGCTGCGGACCGCCGGCGAGTGAAGGCGCAGCCCAGGCACCGGGGGCGAAACCCACAGGAGACCGCCCCGACCCGAAATCCGCTCCTCTCTCAGGAAGACCCAGCCAGCATCCCAGACGTCCCGCTGGCCGGGGTGCGCGGGCAGACCAGACCCCCGCTGTGCGGTGCGGTGCGGTGCGGTGCGGCGCGGGGGGCCGCCCCGAGCAGGAGGAGGAGGAAGAAGTAATACTACATCCACAGCGGCTTCCCGAGGGCCAGGCCCAGGATGGAGAGCAGCCCCCGCGCCCGGCGGGGCGGCGCAGGCGGCAGGGGAGGCGCAGGCAGCGGCATGGGCAGCGCCGCGGGGCTCATTCAGGCGCCGAGGTGTGGCGCCCGGGGCTGACGCCCGCCCCCCAGT